AAAATAAAAGAAATAAGACTAAGATGTCAACATATTGCGACAATTCTTAAAGATTTTTGAAACGACATTGCGAATCCCTAGCAAGTGACGCAACATAAAATGAGTTCGGTTTATAGCACGAATATCGCTAAATCGGTCATGGAAAACTAAGGTTCTCCGTTATTTGCTCCGCGAGTTAAATTTTCCCAACATTTCGGAAGATTACTATCCAATGAAGCTTTAAAAATTAATTTTTGAGCAATTTGGACAGACTTTTGATAATTATTACCCAAATTTAAAATTTCTCTCGACCTATGCTCAGAAATACATTAATTGAAACTGTATTGGGCTACCAAGGTAATAGGCGCGGATATCCAAAGAAAGAAAATAAAGTTTTTTCCGATCGACTTTCTGTCATTTCTTGTCAAAATCGATCCCTCTGCCAATTCAAATTCTCTAGAAACAAAGCAGTATTTTAACAAACTAACTAAAGATCGTTTCAATCACCCATGGAAAAATAAAAATRACATTTTAGTTTTTGATTTTGGGAATTTTGGTCTATTTTTACACTGAGAAAGTCGCTATTAACTCCTATCAAAATGATTTCAAAACCGTGAAAAAGATTCGAAAACTTTCCTCCTGGCGTGAGACCAATATGTTAACGGCTTCTTGGCAAGAAAAAGCCTTAAAAAATTGCTTCTAGCTTCTAAATACTTCAGTGAGCCCCTTTGCTCAATATTTTTTCTGAATATCATTTGTATTATATTTAAGGATTGCTTTTTGGTGATTCAGTTTCAGAGTGGTAATAATTGGYATCAATTGGTCTAAAATTCATTGGTCGAAGAGAAAACTAATATAAACTGATCCATCAAAGCTTATTTAGGAATATTAACTGAGCTATTAAACTAAGCTAAAATATTAATATCAAAAACTTACCTGGATATTTCGTTGTTTTTCTTAAAAATTAAAAAAACCCGTTCTCGTATGCGGAGACAAGAATAAGGAATTGAATCTGAGAGAAATACCTTTGAAATCTCGACGTTTTGATCGTTGCCTTATGCTWGGGGTCCCGGGGTGCGCGTTACGTCATAGCCTGATAATAATAATACTACTTTGAGAATATAGCTATTGCATAGACATTGACCTAGACTTTCCCCAAGTCGACCTCTCTTGTCTCCGAGGAGTTCAGTTTTTATTTGAGGAAATTTGAAGCGRCAAGGACTTTGAGAAAGTCTAACCCTTTTGAAATCATTTGATGAGTTAAAAAACCCTAACTCAATATTTTCAGTATTGATTCTGCCTAAATGGTAAAATATTTTTTATTTCATTTGAGGTAACCATTGTTAAGATATCAAAGCTCGTTAACTTCTCTTGTTAGACCAACCAATATGGCGGCCGTTTCAKTGTTATTTGTATCTGAAGGAATTTTGAGCCATGCAGAGTGCACCCAATGAGCTCAATGTGGGCGCTTTCACACCGATATTTCAGCCCGAATAACATGTCACAATAGTTACCAAGGTAAAAATCAAACATCGACTATTTTTGAATAATGATCTAAGGCCTAGGGCAAACGTCGAACTTTCCATGCACCGAGCTCATTAAAAACAATGGATATCAGGTGATAATGAGGCGGCATTCTTTGATGTAATTAAGTTCGGTGCATGGGAAGTTTGACGTTTGCCCTAGGCCTATAACTGCACTAGTTTAATAATAACAATGATGTTCATTAGTATAAAACGTGAATAGGGACCGTTTCGTATTCTTATTCATCGCGTCAGAATTTTGAACAATTTATATTTTAAGAGGAATTTTTTTTCAATAATGAGCAATAATGGCAAAAAGCGCCAAAAACTAGACTTTCGTTTGAGTTTTGATCCCAATTTTCGTTTTGGGTTAACACTCAACAACAAACCTTTTTTTAACAGTTAGAAACCGATGTAATATGATAAAATGCCTGTTTGAAGCGTTATTTTCAATTTTACAAAGATGTTTTGTTGTATTTGTGTTAGAATGTTGCTTTGTCTTTTTTTTTTGTTTTTTTTTTTGTAGAAAATATATGGGAAATAAGCAAATGAAGACCAAAACCTCACTTTCAATGAAAATTTTGGTTAACACTTTGATTCCACTCAGTTCATCGGTCATCTCCACTTCCAAACAAGTTAAACTTT